GGCTTGTAAGTCGAGGCAAATTCGTAAGTAGAGATAAATTTTTGGGGCCAGAGCTGATCGTATCTCAAAAATTTCGTAAGTAGGGGCGTTCGTAAGTAGAGGTACCACTGTATATGTCTGACTTTAATTCCCATTAGCTTTCCGCTTAAGGATTGCAATTGTAAGTAGAAACATCTGAAGGGCATCTTTGCTCCTGTGTAATGGAAAAAGTATCCATCTTATACAATGGGGATACTTTAGCCTGAATAAATATCTGAGAAACCTCTTTGAGCTTCTTGTGAGGTTTTTGTGTTTTTTTAAACCATCAGGAAAGCAGTGGTAATTCAAAATAGCATATGTACCTCCTCCCATTTTTCATCACAATCTGTGAGGTAAGCTGGGCTGAGAATGACTAGCCCAAAGATATCCAGGGCAGACTTGAACCTGGGTTTGTCTCCTTCTAAGTCCAGCTCTTTAACCATTGCACCACACCACTATCCTCTTGCTGATTTATAGCAGTCCAGGAATAAAGGCAATGTATTAATAAAACTACAGGATAAGGGCTGCCACATAGAGTGATAAAGTGGTCGTATGATCATATTAATTAAAAATTGGGACATGCTGAAGCATCTTTGCAATGAGAAAAGATCTAACTGCTGCCAGCTCTCAAGCCAGCTGTCACTTGCTTCTTTACTTAAGCAGCCGTAAGAATAATTCTTCACCTTGGAGGGAGCTAAATTTTCAGGGTTGGTTTATTTAGATAGATTGCCATCTGAGTCAGACTGGGAAGAAAATAATTTCTGTCATCAATTTTTTTCAAAATGCTAAGTGTTTGGCATTTGGTTCTATTCTAAGGACTAAGATTCTGTCAAAGAATTTGGAATTTAGAATAGCAACTCTTGGCTCTCAAATACCATCCAGGATAGCTATCAGGTTGCATACATATACTGTAACAGGTCCTAGTGCATTGCCCCAGTCAATGATGCCATCAATTTGCCTTGATGTGAGACATGCTAGAGCCCATCTTGAGTGAGGTGTGAGGCTTAGGTTTAATCTTAGGATTAATTCTCTCTGCTCATGTCTAAAGGTCAGTGGCTTGATCAAAGCATCATGTAGGCCAAAGGCACTATCAACCATGCAGATTACATACCAAAGTACTTCACAAAACTTTATGAGGCTTATTTTGATCCATAATTCAAGCATCAACCTCATTTGGAAATAAGTTCAATCACACTGAGCTAGTCGGGGTCCTTGGAAATATAAAGTCCTTTGATACAGATTTTCAGCTGTCAATAGTGTGTGCTGGGCTACATTCTAGAGGGCAGTTATGTATCATTAGGACTTATGTGACATGTTCTGCCATATAATCATATGAACATATATTGAAATGAAAGCCACTTTGATGTAGTAGTTAAAGCATCAGGCTAGAAACCAGGAGACCGTGAGTTCTAGTCCCACATGAGGCACAAAGCCAGCTGCGTGACCTTGGGTTAGCCACTCTTTCTCAGTCCTAGGAAGGAGGCAAGTGAAAACTACTTCTCAAAATACTTGCCAGGAAAACTGCAGGGACTTGTCCAGGCCGTTGCCAGGAGTCAACACTGACTTGAAGGCACCAAAAAAAAAAATCATTTTGAAGAACAGTCCTAATATCCCCAGGACAATCCATAATTGTTATGGACATTTTCTGTACTTGTGTTGCAGCAATATTTCAGACACCAATGTGTAGCTGTGGACAACATCCCTCTTTGAGATCAGTGTGTGTGGCAGCTTCCAGGATTTCTAATGAGTAACAGCATATGCAACAAAAATGTTTACAGTATAGAAATATGGAGCTGCCTTGCTGAGAATCATAAATAAGCTCTCACCACAGATCTTATTGGCTTTAATAATTGGCACCTTAAAATTAATTCACCTGGGCATTTGTCAGATGCTGGGAAACTGCTTGGAAATCCTATGCATGGTAGATCCTGCTCATTTTTCTGCGGCTCTCTGGAGAACCTAAAACCCTATGGTTATCTGAATGGAAATGGAAATGGGAACTTGGTACACAAGGGTCACTTTTCCTTCTGAAATCTCATTCTTTAGCTGCCCTTTTACAGGCCTCCATTTCGTTACGTTGCTCCTAAATGCGCAAATAGATATTATTATCCCTGCCTCTTTCTGTTCTTTAATTTGTTACTATTTACACCTGGAAATGAGTTCCATAAATTATACAGGAAATGCAATGCAGTGAAGTTAATACTGCTGCTGATTTAGCATTTCTTGCCTTTTTACATTTTTGCAGCCTTGCAGAGATTTCAATAATACACACACACACACACAGAGTAATTAGTCTGAATTTTCTCAAGGTACATCATAATAAAAAAGTAAATCATAGTAAAAAATAGAGATGACCATTCTTTAATTTTGTTACATTCACATTCATCCAATGCTTGTTTACAGCAGCCTTAGGTTGTAGGAGTTTTTTTTCTATGGACACGATTCTTCATGCTTCTTTAAAGAAACAATGGTGGCAGATATTTTGCTCATAAACCAGAACACAGAGAAGCACTAACACAGTAATATCATGTTCTAATTGGTGCATATTTTAGTTGAGCTTAACCATGCATAAAATTTAAGTCACAAAGGATGTTCAGTAGGTGCTTCCCATTGCAGCAAAATTATTGAAATAAAAAGATTTAGCATTCACAAAATCTGGCACTGTAACCAAATTAAGTATGCAAATAGGTCTGCTATTGTATAAATTAGTATATAATTAATTTCCATTGATATGTGCATAATCCACACCCCCATGAACTTTTACATTGCCAGATCACAATAATTAATACTTCTTCTCTGATCATTTCTCTATTTTTATCATTCTTAGGGCAAAACTAGATGTGATGGGATAATCATTCCTAAACGTACCCTGAATAAACAAGAGGGTAGGAAAGTGTAGTGATACAAGAAATGTGAGAGGGGAAATCTAAACTAACTGAGCCTTCCTGTATATTATTATTATTATTATTATTATTATTATTATTATTATTATTATTATTTAAAATATTTCTATTCCACCTTTCATCTGAATTTGCAGATTTCCAGAAGACTCATAACAGCTTTCAAAAATCCAAACCAAAATTAACCAACAAGACCAAAAGCAACAAAAAATTCACTGGATTGAAGGCAAAGAAAATCAGGGATTGAAATGGTTAAACAGACCTCCAAAGGAAGGAAGATCCATAGTCTTGGCACAACTACAGGGATGTCCCAACTAGCTGTGTCTTGGTCACAGTAAGAACAGCCACCCCAAAAGATCTTAGTCATTGTAAAAAAATGCTATGAACACTATGGACAACTAAAATGGGAAAGAAATCCATTTTGGTTCATAATTTTAATGCAAAGCTGCCTAATTTTACCCTTTCAGATCAGTACAGGTATCAGAATTTAGCTACCCTTTAGAATTTGCACATTACCAAATTTTGCTAGGCAGTTCTCCAATCCCAAATGTGGTGCTAAAATGCATATTTGGGGAAATATGAAACACTGGGATATTTTAAAGGATAGACATTTGCATACACAAAGGTAATTTAGAAACAAACATGAAAGAGGTTTATGAAATGTCATGCTAATGTTTATAAAAATATCTCAGACTGATGTGGGAAACAGGATAAATCAACTGGAAGGATGTAAACGTAAGAAAATTAGAGAAACCAAAATTGACAAACTCATGCTTAAGATTTAGCTATTCTATTTAGATTTACTCTTCGTATTCTAGCCCTGGTCATTTAGAGGTTTAAAGAGAATCACCAAATCTTTCCATTGTTTCCAAACATAAAGTAGGAACCACTGCAGCTGTTCTTAATACAGTATTGTTCGAATCTCAAGATAGGGAGCATTCAGATTTCCCCACTGCCACAGTATTCCAAACCCTTGGCTCATATCTCCTTCAGTACCTAAGCCACAAAGGGAGGTGGCTGGAGGAATATTGGTGCAGAAGAGTAGATGGGAGTTTGGAAGACCTCCTGCCTTGTACACACTTCCCCCCACTTGACTGATATGTGAACAAGGCACACACAATGAAATGCAATTTTGGTAGGCTGCTCAAAGGACTCCCTCTCCATTATCAGGTTAATTCTTACAATGGCATAAATCTAGGCCTCAGCAATGCTTTCAGGCCCTGAATACCTTTGCTATGTCCCCTCCAACAAAAATACATTGCTGAAACATGTGAGATCTTTCCCAAGACTACCGGAAGCATTTAAAATTCAAACAAAACCATTATATAGCATGAGATTTCATGATCTCTCAAGGTTTGTTTGTTTGCGTGCTTTTGCATTGGGATGGGCACTGTATTGCCAGCTCTGGCCTAGCTTGATGTTATCCCTTCATTATACAGCAGAGGGGTGTGTGGAGACTTTCAGAAATGTGGCTGGTCCAAGGCCATCGAGTCAAATAATATCCAAGACGTTTTATAAATGTGTTTTTAGATTTATTTGCAAACAAATCATTTCCAAACAGTAAAGCACACACTAAGTACATTGCAATTGGGTAGATCAGTCATAATGAAACCAATAGTAAGTGCTAGTTGAAAGGGGTTAAAATACCGAACTTTTCAAAGCCTAGGATAACTAATGAACAAAAATGCAAGCAAATGAGCCTCTCTGCTGAAAGGTTTTCCTGAGCAAAGTGCTACCACGAAAAAGGCCCTGATCGTAGCCAACATTGAGTTAGAACCCCCTTCTCTGTGCTGCCTCGGACGAATATCTGGATGGTATGGGGTTAAGAAAGGCCTTTCAGTGGCAGCATTAAAATACTTCCTTTCTAGCTTTCTCTTGTATTCTTTCCTAGACACTAGTCTTCTGCCAGCACTCTCTTCCATTTTATTCACATTATAATTGCAGAGCCCCAGCAACATGTCAAGGATTTCTTCTTAATTTATTGTTAGTGTCATTTATTTTTAAGTGAAAGGCCTTCCTTTTCTTGTTAATTAATGCATTCTATTTTATTTTTTACATGAGTCATTTTTTTAATCTTTTCAGGTGTGTGTGCAACATTGACTGTTCTCAAACCAACTTCAATCCTCTCTGTGCTTCCGACGGAAAATCTTATGATAATGCATGTCAGATCAAAGAAGCATCATGCCAGAAACAGGAGAAAATTGAAGTCATGTCTTTGGGCCGATGTCAAGGTAATGCTCCTAGCAAAATTCATTTGGAAGATAGCTCTCCATTTTTACTTTGTATGTTTAAGAGAAGGAGAACTGGGACAGAGGGAGCTGGCATGAATTATTATTAGACATTTCTTACGTTTTCTATAGATTTTCAGGCTATGAACAGGTGCAGCAATAATGTTCTTTTTATTATGGCCCACAGTCAAGGGTACAGTTATTCTGCATCCAATTGAAATAGAGGATAAACAGCTATATTGCTGCTATGTCTTTGTACACTATCTTTGATTTTTAACAGTACTTATGGTATACCCAATCAGTGTAGGAGGCAAAGGAAGAAGATGTACCAGACTTGTAAAAATATGTTGAAATCTATCTTCCTGGGACAACAGGTTCTGCATAACTTGAGTTGACCTAAAAATATTCCAGAGACGCAGAAACACACCTGTAAATTTACAAGCCTTTGCAGAAAGAAAGATCCCTTTGACAGTACTGGGAGGTTATAAGGTCTAGGGGGATTGGGAACATACTAGTGGTCATGGTGGTTGCAGTTCTCCTTCCATTCTCATTGTCTCCCTTGAAAATGTCCTGTATGATCTCAGGGATTCATTCTGCCTTCCAGATGTGTTAAGCTATAACCCCCATAATTGGCCTTGGTGACTGGAGAGGGATGAGAATCTGGAGGACGCCAAATTGTGGAAAGTGGTTGTAAATCATGGAAGGTGGCATACCATGGTTGCAAGTGACAATGTGAGGGACACAATTATGTTTCTGAAAGATTGGATTTAAAAACTACTTTTCTGGCCTCTAAAAATGTCTAAATAGCTCCCCTTCCTCCTTTTTCCCCTTCTGTGGTTAGAGAACAACTCCATTAGGTTGTTTGTCACTGTTAAGGGGAAAACCTGAAAGGAACATCTGGGTCAAAGCCCTGAACCAAGGTTCTGTCAGATAGTGTCTGTACATATACCCAGCTGCCATTAACAGCTGGCAGCAGCTGACCATAACAGACCCCAATTCCAAGCAGAGAAGGGTGAGACCAGGATTCCATTCCTCTACCTTAATTTGGAGTCGTAATTCAACATATGTAGAACATAAAGTTGCCTATTCTTGCACACCTTCTGTGTTCAGAAGTGGATTCTGGGGGCAGACATTAGCTGCACATATGTTCTGGGTGCAGTTGTGATTCAGCAATAGATCTGTGCATACTTTGCAAGACTTTCACCTGGCCCCAAATACCCTCAAAGACACACAGCTTGCCTTCATTATCATAGCTTGGTTCAGGTACAATGTCCACTCAAGGGAATTAAAAATATGTAAGGGGCACTGGGCTATGGGCAGTAACTCCATCCCCCATATCTTCCATGTAAGAACCCTGCCTCTTCAGTCCCTGACCTCCCCAGAATTTGCTGAGATATCTGAAGAGGCTTTTTATATGCCTTCACTCCAGTGTGAATAGAACCTTCACTGACAGTTCCACTGTTTTGCCTGCCAAGATCAGAAACAGCAAGTGTTGTTTTCATTGCATTAAGTAAAGTCAAGTCTCCTTGGAGTCCAACTGGATTCTTGGTGACTTCATGACCACAGTCATGCAGTTTTCCTATTAACAGTATGGACTTGTTTGCCATTGCTGCCTTCAGAGAAGTGTTTTTGATAACCTACAGACTTAAGAGCTCCTGGTGATCTTGCATACTGGCCATGCATCTGTGCTGGGCTTCTACGATCAGTCAAGGCCAGGCATTCCTATACCTCGGTCAGGCACTGAAAGCTCAGCAATTTGATTTCCTGCTCTCCCACAGAACAGAGAGCCTATGAGTAAATAATTTGTTCCGAGCACTGAATGTGACTTTTCCCCCCCAGTATGCAACAGAATGATGTGTGCAGTAAAGTTCCAACAGCAAAAAAATATCCTCTTACCTTCCAGGGTTTCAATGTAGTCCCATGCATTCCTGTTCAGAAATAAGCCTGACAGAGTACAGACTAGCTAATATGTGTGGGATTGTAGCTTTAATCATCCATACATGACTGGTGTTTTTAATTTTTCCTGCTTGCATAATCTATTTCGGGTTTTTAATTCTAGAGGGAAACAGCTGACTACTGCAAATATAACAAGTTCTCAGAAGCTCTCTTAATTAAATAAAATGTTCATTTGGGATTTCTGTAAGATTTTGTTTATTTGGAAAGTTCATTTATTCCCAAGAACTTCTGATTCACTCAGCTATAGTGAAAAAGCAAAGGTGTTCATAATTTATACATTGTTTATTCATTTATTTATACTTTAAAAAATCAGCTGTGAGTTAAAATGAATGTAAGGACTGGGGGAATATAGCTTGACTATATAAGCAGTTCATAATAACACTTTACTTCCACAGTTTTTGATAGGGGTGTGTGTGTGTTATTAAATGTTTTATATAATTCTTTTGAGCCAGTCTTATGTAGCCATTATGATTTACAAAATGCCCATAATCTTGCTTTTAAAAACAAAAAACACACAGCAATGTAAAATACATATAATGCAAATTGTCATTGCATTGCATCAGAAATACAAACTTATTATCTTAACCATTTTTTTTCTTCTAATAAACATTCAGAGAGTCAGTTATGTCCATCAAGACTTCCATTCAAATGAAAGTGAAAGCCACTTTCCTCACAGCAATCAGAAAACTATCCATAGTTATGCCTTTGAGCTCCCTCAGATATTCAGTATGTCCCATGGCTTTCATGAAACTGTTCTACTTCAAATATGTAGATTAAGAAATGAATGAGTCATAAGGTTAAAATGTCCATGTTCCAATCAAGAGAAGTCTAACCTTGAGGTACTTCAAATTTAAATCCTGTACAGTTTACCTGAGGTGGTACAAGACATGACAATGGCCACTGAATTGGATGATTTTAAAAGGGATTAGATAAATTAACGAAGGGCTGATCTATCAAGGATTATTTGTCCTGAAAGCTCAATATGACTTTTGACTAGCATTATTTCCAGCTGCAAGAAAAAAATGGTGAGGGAAAACTCTTTCTCTTGCCTGTGAGCATCTTATCTGAGTGGCTATCATGAGAAACAAAAGGCTGAACTAGGAAGGATCTTGGCCTAATCCAGAAAGGGTTTCTTATGGTCTTATGTACAGTCCTATAAATTCTTGTGCACTGTCCTACAAGCGTTGCTAAAAAGATTGCATTGGTTTAAGAGAAAAATCTTACATTTCATCACTAGTATAAAACTGACATGTGAATCACAGCTGTGATTTAAAAATGCAAGAGAACCACTTACCCTAGCAAGGGATTCGATTTCAGTTTGTAACAAAAGTAAACAAATGCTATGTCTTTCAGATAACACAACTGCCACTACAAAGTCAGAAGATGGGCATTATGCAAGAACAGATTATGCGGGTAAGTACTCCCAGCAAAGGTGGACATAGTTTTTGAGAAGCAGGGGGAAAGTATGTTTGAAAAAACTGAAGTCATAAATGAAGTCTTCTTTCATTTCCTATGAGAGAAAAATAGGATTATCTTCAGTAGGAATTGGAGCTTAAGTCAATGAATTGGAGCAATTACTATAACTATAGATAAAAAATCCTTGTCCTCATTTTCCATTCCCTCCCTCTAAAATTAATTGGTGGGATTGAGAAAGCAAATACTTCTCAGGAAGCCTGAAGACTCTACTTGGGTGCATAATACACAGATTTCCAAGTTCCATCTACTTAGCACCAAATGTTATTAAAATGGATGGGTATGATTGAAAGGAACTTTAAAACTGGCTTTTTCTTCCAGCCTGTATTTAAATCTTGCAGACCAATCTGGGAGATAATATTCTACCCAACACCGTATGTGTTACACTTTTGCTCTTTGCTCCAAGAATGACTGCTATAATTTGGAAGATGGAATTCATTTGCTTTGGAATAACATAGATTTTATTTTACTTTAATATACAGAATACCTAGTTCTGATCATAGTTTTCTTCTAACATTAATCTGTGGGTAGCTGATGCTGAGAGAGCTTGATTGAAACCGGACTCAATTGCTTTTAAACCTGGATCTTGCATGGGCTTTGATTTAATGAACCATTATGGTTGTTGTGTGTTATTGATGGACTACGTTCCCTTTTAGATAAGTGGTGAAAGAGAATGTATTAAAAGTAGCTCTTCATCAACAGGCAATACTTTGACTAAAACATGTTAGGCTTCAGGATAATTGTCCCTTTCCTTCAGGATTCCCCCAGATATGTTTTACTTAAGCTTACAATATTTAAATCAATATAATGCAATTCAAATATTTCATGATCAAGGTATCTCCCCTGCCAGGTAAAGTATAACATTTTAACAAAATGTTAAAAGAAATGAATCAGTTGATGATACTTCTTTTAACACTGACACTTCTTTTCATCTTAATGAGTGAAATCTCCCCCACACCCCATTTTTGCTACCGCCAGCCTTCACAGGCATTCACATTAATCATGGTGGCATCCACTGTGTTTAAATTTCAATTAAAAAAAAAATCAACATGTCACAAAGCTGAAACCAATAATTTCTTACAGCTCATTTCTAGCTATTCTTTGGCTCTAACTGGGATAAACATTATACCATACTTACACTTGGATGCAAAGTTAATGAGGTATTTTAGATCAGTTTTTTTTTTAAATGATAAATGGCTTTAATTTATTTGGAAACACCAACAAAATATAACTTCAGCTCTGGCTTAATACAGCAGTTTGAAATATAATATATATGTAAATGTTATTTAAGGTTTTATCAAATGATGTTTGGTGAGGTGGTATCTTCAGTTTATTTTTATTTTTCAAATCTGCTTTACCAGGAAGATTGAGTTTCAAGGAGTCTTTAAATGCTTGTGCAAATTTTAACAGCTTGACTTTAGGACTGAGAATGGGAGTACTAGGAGCGCAATCATTTTAAAAATAAGGCAAGAAATGTATCTCTTTTCCACTTTCAATTTTTTTTAAGTTGAGTAAAAAAGAACTTCATGAAGGGGCTTTCTTTTAAGTGCTTGGCTCATGGCCTTGCTGTACTAAATAAGAAATGGTGAAGCATCTTTTATTTATTAAGATTTTACTGGCCCTACTTGATAGCAAAATGTTCACTGCTTTTCTGCAATGCATAATGTGAGTTAAGAATAAGATATACTGGTGCACATACAGAGGAACTTTTTAAAAACTGTTTTCTCATTTTAAAATATCTTTGCCACAGTTACTTATAAACGCGTGATACGTCTCTGTATGTTAAGGAACGAAGTTCAGGGAGAGCAATCTGAGCAGAAACATCATTGTAGCCTTCCCCTAACCTGTTGGCTTCCAAATATGTTAGAACTGAAGGAGCTGGCTGGGAATTCTGGGAATTGTAGTAAGACAATTGGACCATAGGTTAGGAAGCTGCATTATAATATCAATAGACTTGATCCTTTGAAAGAGAAACTCCATGGTTTATATAGAGGAACTGCCAAAGTGAAGTTCTGAAAAATGGTATATATGCTTACCAGTGAGTCATTTTGTTTGGTTACCGCACATCAAATGCAATCCTATTAAGTCTCATGCATGGCCTTGAGATACCCATAAGAGATTCTGTTTTGGTTTTGCAAAAGAATAAGGAGGTTTTGACTTGGCTGTGGCCACAGTAGCCATCATAACTGCTTTGTAGAGATGTGGAAAACGTTTTGATGTCACACTGTTCCAAGGCCCAAACAATTCCATTCCAACTTCAGGTGTCCCAGTGTTGACATGGGCCCTTTTGATCTCATCAGAAATGATTTGGTCTGAGGTCAGAACAGCCCATTTCCAGTGTGAAGACTTTTGGTCAGGATCCAGCAGAAGATGCTACAGAGTCAGAAAATATTAACCTCAAGTGCTTTGCAGACTTCTAGTCCTTTGCTCTTTCACTTGGAACCAAGTAATGCACGGGGGTGGCAAGGATGGCTCTTCATCTTTATATAGCTTCAGCTGCATCAGCTTCTCCAGGTGCAGGAGAAATATGTTACGGCTTCAACCCAGGCACCTTTTCACCACCTCTCTTCCCCTCCTGTTCTTTGTTTACAGCCATGGGAAGAAGAAAAAGGGGGCCTTTTTCCAGATCAAACAGACATCTGGAAAAGGAGACAATATGGCTGTGAAGTGATCTTCCCCCTCTAAGAACAAGCAGGGACAGCCCTGAAAAGATGGGTGACAGGGAGAGAGAGGTTGGAAAAGGAAAGCCGAAGTTTTGAAGCAGCCTAGCATTTTCAAAGGGAAGAGACAATGAATCAGTGCCCTGGTGGACTCAAAATAGCAAGGGGAAATATAAGTCAAGAGGATAACTTGTCAGCAGAACCCCTTCGCTGTGCTTTTGCTGGCATCAGCAGAAGAGTCTTCCTCCAGCAATGCCCTATATAAAGCTAGGTAAGGCAGAACTGAAAGTTCTCAAAATAAGAGAACTTATTTTGTTCAATAATTCTGAAAGAGAACTATACAACGTAGACATAGACACACACACACACACACACACACACACACTATAGTTAGAAAATTAAATTTCCCAAGCTTTAGCAATAGGGAGGTTGGCCAGGTAAATTGACCAAGCTTTAGAAATACAGCTAACATGGAACTTATAAAAGCTTGCTGGAAGATTAATGTATGAAGGCTGAGTGGAAATGATTTTTTAAAAACTTGTTATTGTTGAGTGGTCAAATACGTTAAGTTCACAAAGATTAGGATATTGCAGAAATCCATCCTCTATTTTCAACCCATTAATCTTCTCAAGAAGGAGGCCTCGGCTTATTTTGGACATCATGCTGTAACTGACCTCAGCACTATATGAAACAGAGGAGACTCAACCGCTCACACTACCCACTTTGCAGCCTCCACCTTGGATGCAAGTGGGAGAATTGAAATATCCACTACTTGTTACCAGGTGTTTTGTTATAACCAAATGAGAAAAATAAGCAACAAGCTGGTTAGTTTAAATGCCATTACTTTAAACCATCCAGATTCTTGAGCTTGGTTTAATCACTGTATTTGTAAACTATACAGCCTCATACACTTCTGGTTCCTTCTGGTTTGTTTCAAGAAATCATACGTTCAGACAAATCACAGTATAATAAATACATTAAATTTTGACTAGTTTAAAAAAACAAAAAGCAAATTTGTCTAGCCTTCTAGGAGCATGTTGTTTTTGTTGTTCATGAATCAGCAAATCATAGCATGGCGTTAGATCTCAAACAGAACAATTAAACGGGAATATCATGGTATACTGGGAGTTGCCAATCTTTTGATGGCCAGGGCTCCATATTTAACATTTTTGGTAAGTTGTAGAGGCAGGGTAGTGATTCAGTGGGGCCAAGTTATACATATCAGCAGGACCGTGGTTTTCAAATTCTTCTAGATTTAAGGAGGGAATGGGGGGGGGGAGGATTCCTTTTTAAAATTAGTTTAAAGCCTTTCAAAAGTATATGTTTCCTTCCTCAAAAAAGATAGAAAACTATGTTCAGTTCCAACCAGCATGATTGTTGAAGGACATTCCCATAAGAAAGGTGGGCTATATGCAACCCCAGGGTTTCAGACTGTCCAACCTCTGGTTTACACAGTAATTACCACTGTTAACTCTGTCTAATTTTACATAAGAATAAGATGGTAATGGCTGTAGATTTTCTTTTCTTAGCAAGATATTTTGCCTTTTGTAAGCATCTTCTATAAAAGAAGTAAAAACATACATATTCCTATACTGTGGTCATAGGGCATCCAGGAGAAATCACAATGATATCATGCATGCCAAACATCATCATACAAATGATGTAAATTATGTAATTTACACCATTTGCATCATGATATTGTGCTGTGAATTATCTACAGTATGTCATTGCTGTGTTTTATACAATAATAACATGACACCTGATATCATTTGCCCTCCCCACAGATACACATGGCTATGCGGGTTGCAGAACCTAAAGGCTTCTTTTAACCAAGTGATAGAATGGATGGATGGATGGATGGATGGATGGATGGATGGATGGATGGATGGATGGATCTATCTATCTATCTATCTATCTATCTATCTATCTATCTCAGAATTCTATTTGTTTACTGAAGTGGGCCTAGATGATTAGCTGTTTTGTGTATTTTTATGTATGCTTTTGTAAAAATTTAATAAGAGATTTGAAATACCCAAATGGTGGGTGTACACATCTGATACACGGTAAATATTGAGTATTCCTTCTCTGTTTTCCCATATTCTAAGAATATTATGAAGAAGTAGTAATCTTCAGATGTGAAGGCAATCTGACTGCAACTACATTGATCACCAGGGAGAAGCAGTAATCTTCCTGAGATTGAAGTTTGGGTAGATGTTTGGGAAAGAGCCAAAATCGGTTGGAAGGCAATAAGATTTCAATTGTATTATTATGTAATACAAG